AGATAAAGGGCTGGGGTTCCTCCTGGGCAGAGCGGTGCTCCCGTAGAACCAGACATTGAACTTGGAGTCACAGCCCCTGGGCCCTCCCTCCCTGGGAACGTTTCCTTTCTTTTGTTCGCTAAGGGCTGGAACGACATTGAACTACATAAAACTGGATTGGAAGTGGGCACAAAAGAACCGTCAGCAGACTCCAGACTTCTCTGTTGGTGACACCATCATTCACACAGTCATCTGGATAAGAGGACTGTTATTCGCTTATTTCCTTTCTCTGCTCCCCAAGTCATCCAGGAAGCCGTTCGGATTTTAATCGAAAGATGTCTGGATGTACCTTCCTCTCATCTTCCTGAAATTTCTTGAATCTATACCTTCATCTCTCGGGTGCCTTTCAGAGTTCTCGCCTTCTCTGACTTGCCTTCAGAGCCTCCACAGTTCTTTTTCTAAAGCAAATTTTAATCCATTCACTCTCCTATCAAAATCCTCTGTGCTTTTATTGTCCTCAGAAGTTAATCCTAACTTCTTGGCATGCCAGACCCTTAGGCTGCTTGAAAGTAATCTGTTCAGTCACACCTCCTGCTCCGTGGTTCCCTACCACCCTTGCACCTAGTCACAGTAGCTGCCTTTTTCCTTAGCTTTTACTTTGTGCAGCTCTGTCCTTCACATTCTTTTTTTTTCTAAACTTTTTTTATTGAGTTATAGTTATTTTACAATGTTGTGTCATGTCCTTCACATTCTTGATCGTGCTTAATCTTCCCTGTGAAGCAGACCCTGTTATTCGCAGTTTGTAGGTGAGAAGGTGGAATGCAAGGCTTGCCCTAGTTTTCCAAGCTAGGGGAGAGTGTGCTATGATCGACTAGTTCTGACTCCAAAGCCCCCTGCCCTCACTGCCCTTACCTGACCACGTGCCCTGAGGTCTCCTTTGCACCTGCTGTTTGTTCTACCTGAGAAAGGCTGCCTTCCCCTCGACTTCCCCCCTTGCAGGGAATTCCTGTGTTCAGCTCTAAGGCCAGCTACTCTGTGAGGCCTCCCGTCCCCTCCCCCTTCAGAATGAGTTGTTTCCTCCTTTGTGTGACCACAGCACTTTCTTTACGTTTCTGTTTGAACACTTGTCACAATTGGATGTGTGTTAGACTTGTCTTTCCTACTAGGTTCCTAAAGCGCAGGGATCTTGACCTAATTCATTCTAGTATCCCTTAGTCTAGCCCAGTTGACCCAGTTTGGGGCTCCCAAGCTCGCAGGGGTCTGAGATGGGTGTTACTATGGTTTTTTTAAATTATTTTTTTGTTTGTTTTAAAAGAATTGTAATTCAGAAAAAATATGTAACATTGAGTACTTAAGCACTAGATCATTTGCTTAAGTTTTTTCCTATCTTTTCAATAACTCTTAAAGTTAGTGCATCATCATCTTTATTTTACAAATGAGAAGGGTGTGAGACTTAGGTTAAGAGTGTTACTTAAGGTGGAGCAGCAGCCCATCCCGGGGAGAGGTGACATGCTACATCTCCCTGGCTCCAAATCCCAAGTTCCGTGCTCCTTGTCACACTGCCTCCTTTCTCCTTACAAAGATGCATGGAGGAGTATGTTGTTTCTTGAATTGTGGATGAAAGTTTTTCAGTTCAGTAGGAATGCTGGTTACAAGAGGCTGATCATTGGCTCTGAGAGTCGGGTTAAGTTATATTAAAAAAAAAAAATTATCCATGCAGGTTGGTGGGTACATGGGGTGGATACTAGAAAAGATTTTAAATGATGAAAAGTAAACATGTTGACAGTGACGCTGAAAATTCTTAAAGAACTTTAGATTTCCTCAGAAACTACTTTCTGACTTAGACTTGGAATCAAAGATTTCTTTGTAACAATGGACTGTCTGCAGATAGTGTAAGATACATTATTAAAAGTGGAGTGATTTGCATATATCTGGCTGAGAAGTTATTTTAGGCAAAGTGAGTATGATCAAGTCTTTAAAAAGCATTTACCAAAAGAATTAGCCTTTTTGAAAACCCTTTTTAGGAATTACAGTGTTAACAAAACATTAACTACATTTTAATTTGCAAACAGCTAATTCAGCATTGATGGCAACAACCAGATTGTAACCATTGCTTCAGTCAGGAGGGGAAATAGTTACAAAAGTGAAACCTATAGGTGTGGCTGAGGGAAATTGGTTGCAGTCTGATCATTTCTTTTTAGCGTCTGGATTGCATTCATCCCCTCTAAGGGCCTTCCAGCTGGGTGTCTTCCCGGAAGGGCTTTTCACAGTGGGGAAACCTGTGGGTTTAAATGAGGGGTGACTTTTTATTAGTTGTTATGGTACAACTATTGAGATAAGGAATTGAGATTTGTGGCAACCTTTTAATGCTGTTCAAATAACATTTACTCAGAGCTCCATACTGATGTATTTTCAGTCCATAGTCACGTGTGGGTGAGTAGGAGGGGTTTCCAAATGACAGTTCATTCCTTGGAATTCATCATACTAAGCAGTGAACTAGTTGCTGTTGAGCCCAAGTTTAGTATCTGTGGTTGGGTAATTAACACAGAGGAGTGGTGCGTGCAGGTGGTAGGTGTGTTATGTGTCGGGGTTTTTACAAATGGTGTCGTGCCAGTGTAAGCGTTCTGAATCCACTGGGTTTTTGGGAATCGAGGAAAGCAGTGCATTTTTTTACCCAAAATTCATGCATCCTAGGAAGTTGGGACTGGTTTAGCCTGCCTTAATGATGTTCTTTGTAAATGTTTCTCTATTAAGAGGTAATTGGGACAGGCCCTGGGAAAGAGTGTCCTCGTTATTGCAACATTGGGACCTTTTCTTGAGGTGTCCACCAGGACAGAAACATTTGTCTCAGGGTACTGGGACCTTTTTGCTCTTGTTACAACTCTGAGTTAAGAGACTGTTGATTTAGTGTTTTATTATGCCAGGTCACTTGAAACTATTCTCACTGTGTTAGAAAGTATCACTAAATGCTCAGGGGCTGTTTCTATTTTCTTTGCTGCAGCAGTAAGTTAGGATTTAAAGCTTCGAGAACCAGGAAGACATCCCTCCTGAGCCTAAACTCTGTATCTACCTGCCTGGAGAGTTTCCTTTGAATGGCGCTTGGACCTGCAGGCCCCTGGGTCTAAACCCTGCCCATGCCCCTACTTCTATCTTGCCTCCCTTAGTTAATGGACCACTTGTCTACTGCATCGCCAAGGAAAAACCTGGGGGAGCCTGCCATGCCCCTTCCCCCCATATCTAGCCACTTGCCAGATTCTGCTGAACTAGGCCTTTATCTCTGTTCTCTGCCCGTCTTTTTTCTGCATCCCCACCGCCGCTCCAGAGTTCGGGCCATCCCATTTGTGGCGGACACCTGCATCACATCGCTCAGTGGTTTCTTTGTACTCCACACCAGTTAGCTTCCTCAGGCCCACGTGGTTCCCACCCAGCAGTGCGTCGAGGAGACGTGCACGTGCCGAGGCCCTGCACTCAGAAACTGGAACCTAATTCAGGAGGGCGGGACTCTACTGAAAAAGTCACATCCCTTAGCATGCTCCTTCCTGGTCCGGTCTCGCCAGGCTTGTCTCCTCTGACTCACCCATGGAATCCGCTAGACACGCATGCTTTGCACACCCAGGTCTCTGATGGGTGCCCAATCTCACCTCCTCTCTGCACCAGAGCTGCTCCTTGTCCTTTAGACTCAGCCCAAGGGGTGCCTCTCCTGGGCACTGCTCTCAAGTTGCTTAGTGAGGGAGGAGAGGTCCTGGGCTGTCTGCGTGTGCCAGTTGATGGACGGAGAGCAGGCAGGTAGACCCTCTGTGGGGAGGAGGCGGCTGGGCTTGGCCTGGGCCTCCCTCTGCTGTGTGTGGGGTGCTGGGAGTTGGCCAGTGAGCTGGAGGCGCTCTCATCCTTCAGGATGGACGTGGGAACCCCCAGTGCAGTCGCCTGCTTCTGACCTTGCGCCATCCCCTCCTTGGGTTTTAGCTAGGCCAGCCCCTGAGGTGCTTTCCAGAAGCACTGGGGGACTGGTCTGGTTTTACCCTTGATTGGCCTGCCCCGCGCTGGCCCTCCAGAGCTACGAGTCCTCCCTCCCTCTGCCCAGTCAGTGCCTGGCAGGGCTACCTCTCCGTGAAGGGGCGCCAGGGAGGGCGATGCTGATGGCTTTGGGGATAGCTGGCAGAGGAATGCTGTGCCTTTCAGGTGAGGGTTCAGCATAGCCGCAGGGGCAGCGTTCTGGAGGGGCTGCTTGCTTGTGAGGGCTTTGCTGGCGTATGTCACTTGCCCAGCCTCATCCTGTCTGTCTTGAGCATTTCGATGAACCTAGCCCTGCCCCCAGTAAAAAGGGGGCGAGAAGAGTCTTCCTATTTAGGGCAGAGGTCCTGAGAGGGAGAACACTGAATAGTGGTTAAGAGTTCAGGTTCCGGAGGTTGCATCCTGGGCCTGCCACGTCTTAGCTGAGTGAACCCAGGCAAGCCGCCTAACCTCTCTGTGCATTAATCACTTCACCTGTGTGAAGATTCAGTGAATTAATACACAGCAAGCACTTAGATGAGTGTTTGGCGTATACCAAGTGTGAGATCCCTGTGGATGTCACCGCCGGGAGGCGGAGAGCAGCTGGTGGGTCGGGAGGGTTTGGGTTTGGAGGCGGATGGGCACTGGGGTGCAGAGGTGGGTTGGGGTCCGGTCTGGGCAGGCCTGCCTGGACATGACAGCCACTGGGCTGGCCCTCTCGCCCGCAGCGCTCTCCTGCCTCTTGAAGTAACCTGTTCCTTAGGGTTAGAGAGAGGTTTACTGAGACAGCTACGTGAATACGTCTTTGTTTAAAGATGTTTACTTTTTCCAGCAAAATTGGAAAGCTCTTGAATTCAAAATTTGTTTCTGAGAATCTCACCATGCGTATTTTATCTTCCTGCCCTGAATGTGTGCGCAGGGCAGTGGTGCTCACTGTGTCCCAAGAGGAGCCCGGTACAGAGCTGGGAGGAGGGTGGGGTTTGAAGGAGCCCCTCGCAGCAATAATACTGCAGCCTTTTGTCTTCTCTTTCAGCCTTGAAGCAGAAGTTAAGGAAGGCTGCTTGTGGTGGCTGCCCCGCTCCTCCCGGCCCTCGCCCCAGTGTCTCGTGGTCCAGAGTGGCAGGGCCCCTGCCAAGGGGAGAGGCCCAGGCTCAGCGACCACCCACAGGTGGGGCGAGCCAGATTGCTCCTTGCCCAGTCTCCCTGCTCTCAGGGTGTTGCTCCTGCTTTCACGGGGCTGCTTTTGGTTTTTCAGGAGGGGCAGGGTGGAGAGTTGGAGATTTCATCTCGGGTTAGGTGATGTTTGGTGTTTAGTGCTGTTTTTAGTGGTTCCAGGTCTGTGTTGGTTGTAGTTTCTGGTACTTTGTTATCTTGTCAAGATTTTGCTTCTGCATTTTACAAGCAGGTTTGGCAGAGGGGTGAAGTGCTGTTGGACAGCCCCAACTCTGGGGGGCACGTTTGCAGCCAAAGCAGTGACTGGCATCAAATCCAGTGCCTGTGATGGTGCTCCGTCCCTGAGAAGGAACGCTGCCCACACTGTCACAAGTGGGGGCAGCAGGCGCAGCTCACAAGTGGAACAGCCCCTGAGCCCTTCCTGGATAGTTTGTAGACGTCTCCTTCCCACCAGTGTACCACTTGTCAGGAACCTGGGCTCAGAGAAGCGGACCTTACGGAAGGACCAGCACCCGCGTCCGCATCCTCTTCCTGGGGCACTGAACTCTGCAGGCCGTGGTGTAGGTCAGACTGCCAGGCACACCATGTTCAGATGGAAACAGACACGCATCCTGGAGCCAGGCGGCCAGCCAGGAGCCGACTGTGGAGACGGCAGGAGGGCCCAACTCCGCGGGGGCCCGGAGTGGGTGGGCAGTGCAGTCCCTGAAGCCTGTGCCGAGAATTCTCCTAGGGTGACCTGGGGACTGGACCCCTGCCCTGGAACAGCATGCTGTGGTCAAGTTATCAGGGACCTGGGTTCAGATCTTGATCTCACCGTGGACTTGTCTGTGTCCTCGCCTTGAGCCTCTGTGTCCTGATTTCTCCAAAGGGCTGGGAGCCTACCACACTGAGTTAGGGTCGTAGCCAGGTGTAGTGGTCTAGTGTGACTTGGGATGAGGTCACTGACATACCATTGGCTCCTGGGAGGGGGACGTGTGGGGCTGAGTAGTAACTGAAGTAGGAGAATCGTGTTCTGGGCTCTGTGTTTAGATTTACAGTGTGGTGAGTGGCATTAAAGTCATGATATAGTGTCATTGCCGCCAGCTGCTGTGTGCAAGCTTACAAAGTGCATTTCTGTCACAGTTCGTCACTTTGATACAGTCACGAGCAGGAAGTGGCTCTTTCAAATCACTAATGTCCTACCAGTTGTGTAACTGGTGTTTGAGTGATTCTGTACTTTCCCTCAGACTTCGGGCTCCATCTGCCAGGTTTCGTTTTGCCCAAGCAGGAGGAGCCTAGACCCTGACTGCTGGGCTGTGCCGGCCCAGGCAAAGACTGTGCACTTCTGCCCTTGCAGTCTTGAGAAGTGCTGTTCCAAGCCTGCCACACCCTCCACAGGTCCTGGTGGAGACTGGAGGCCCTGCCCGGGTCCGGGTCCGGGTCCAGGTCCTGGTCAGTGGGAGCCTGCCCTGCCCTGACGCACTGCTCCGCGTGGCTGAGGTCTTCACGGAGAGCAGTCAGCTTGGCTCTCGTCCTGGCCTCGCCCTGTCCCCGGTCGGTCTGTGACTTGGGCCTATCCCAACCTCTTTTCAGCCTTACATCTGTGAAGTAAAGCTGACCTGCCTGACATGCCCTCCTCGGGATGCGAGGCTCCAGTCAGGTCCCCCGTGAGCGTGGAGCATTGTTTCTCACCCCGCCTCCCCCCACCCAGGCTCTGGCCTCTGCTCTTGGTCTTGCAGAAAGGCACGCCCCTTCCCTGGCATCCCTCCTTTTGGTTCTTTGCTGGGATTCTGACAATGACGATGCCCTCCAGAGGGGAGTGTGATATGCCCCTGGCAAGCCCCCCTCTTGTGTTTCTTTTCTTTTTCTCTTTTATTTGAGATATAAAGGTTCAGATATTTCTGAAAGCTTTGTGCTAACAACCATAAACATATTCATTTCTCGCTGAAGACCCCATGAGTTCTGGTCATAGGGTGTAAACGCCATGGCCGCGTCATATCTGTGGAAAACACTGGTGCCCTGGCACCCCTAGATTTTAAGAAACATGGCGATACAATTATGGAAGGGGCTGAAACTGACATCGTTGAGTACCTGCTAGGGGTGCCAGCTGTTAGGCCCTCTACAGGGTACCTTGTAAGGCTCAGCAGGGCCCTGTGAAGTAGGTTTTCTACCATTTTCAGGTAAGATGGAGACTTGGAGCTTCAGGTGTGAAGAGTGGGGCTGGAGTTGAGCCCAGGCCTGTCTGACTCCAGAAGCCTCTGCTCTTTCTAGTCCACTGATGATTTGTTGAAACAGCCACATGCCAAAATATATTTCTACAGATAATGTATAAAATAAATGTTGAAGAGAATGGTTGGGGATTGGAGTATTCTGCTTTTATTGCCCGTAGGATGCTTCAGAATAGACAGCAGTAAAATAAACAAGATAAGTCACAGAAAGCACTCACTTTTCAAGAAAAAGTTCTATGTTTCTGTTAGTGTGGACTTGTGATCTGAGGGGTTCCTTGCACTGTTTCTGTGTGCCTGGCTCAGTGGGAGGCCTTCGCTCTGTCAGGAGCTTATCTCCAGCCATGGAAGTGATGCTGAACTAGTCAGGGCCTCAGTGTCTTCCTCAAGGAGGATCAGGCTGGCTGAGCCTCATGGCTCTCAAGCAGGAGTGCCCCCTCCGTCACCTGGGACCCCGCTCAGGTGCCCCTCGCCATCTGGACATTCTCTGTTCAGGGTCTGGGGTGGGCCTAGTTAGGAGTCAGTCCCTCCGGGCCAGGGCCCACACCCTGGTTGAGTCCCCAAAGTTAGTAACCACCTATGCCAGCCTCCGGTTCCTCTGCTTCCCTAAGCCTTTCTGTGTCCACGTGTGACTCCCCGCTCCCAGCGGATGTGGATGCCTGCCCATTCTCCCTGCCTTCTCCCCTCCTTCAGGGCTCTGTCACTGCCTCTCTCCCCGAAGCCCTTGCCCTCTGCTGCTGGCCCTGCAGGTCCCTGGAGCAGCTCTGCTGCCCTCACCCGGCCGCGACAGCCTGGGAGACAGCATTCAGCTTTACTTTCCCTAGTTCTTTAGGGGCATGATACGCCTTTTTCCATTTAGTGAGTAGGAAATTACAGGGTGATACACACTGTACCAGCACCCCCTCCCTTGACACTTGCCGTCGGCAGCATTGATTCAATACAAAGCAGTGTGACTTGGACAGCAGGCGTTTCCTCTGTACGTCTGGCTGGGTTTCCTCAAGGGGACATGGGCTCTAGCTAATAGGAGTCATGGCTCCTGGGGGGCCTCAGGCAAGCCGTGTGCGAAGGTTACCCAGGGAGACTGTGGACCGTGGATTTCAAGGGCCCGTCATAGACTTCAGCAAGAGAAAAGAGAGACTTTACTAAATTCTTTTCCCAAACTTGGATGTGTCTACTCTGTTGTGTGATGGAGAGCCCGGTGTGCATAACTGCGTCCTGCGCCTGGGCTCCTCTCGGGCCAGCAAGGCTCCTTCAGGGGACTATCCCTTGGCCAGTGCCCACGGAGCTGCCAGGCAGCAGTCCACTTCTGCCCCACACCAGCTGTGGCCTGGAGCGGGCGGCGGGATGGGCAGTGCACTGGCTCCCAGGCTCCCACCACCTGCGTGGTCTACCCCTTGGCTCTGCTCTCCCTGGCTCTTCCCTGGGTCAGTCAGCGTTGTGCCGTCCAACCGAAGCTGCTGACCCGATGGCCCCTTGCTCTGAGCAGGGCTGAAACGGGCCATGGTGGGGCGTATTTGGTAAGCCCCTGTTGTCTTAGCTTTGGTCTTTCTGTCTCTGTTCTGGAGCTGGGCCCCTCGGACAGCTTTCCTCTGTTGAATCCTCCATCACCCTTCTGAGACACTTGCCATCCACTCAGAGTTGGCGCTACTTCCTTGACATTCCTTCCCCGTTCTTTATCCTCAGTTGTGGGGTGCAGTTTCGCTGGAGGGTTTGCCAGGCCTTTAGGTGAACCTGTCTCTTCTCTGAATGACTTGAATCTGTCTTCTTCAGCTTGTTCTCAATGGAGGCGTGATTGGCATTTTGGGCTGAACAGTTCTTGTCTGCAGGATTGTCTTGTGCAACGCGGGACTTTCAGCATCCTGGCTCCCGAGAGTGGTTCTCAGCACTGGGGCTCTAGAGGACATTGGGAAGTCGGGTGGGGTGGTGTCACAAGGCCTGGCATCTAATGGGCAGGGCTCTGCTCGCTTAAGTCCACAGTCGTGCTGGATGCCTTGTTGAGAAACTCCCGGGGGCTGCCCAGCATTCCCTGGAGATTATAGGGCTGGCTGGTTTTGTTTGTTTGTCTTGGTTCCTCTCACTTCTGCCTTATCCCCACTTCCTGTTGGTTAGAATTATGCAAAGGAGCTTGTCTCTCTGTCTTTGGTGAGCTTAACTTGACAGCAAGATGAGTTGAGTCTCCTGTTTCTAGAGCCTCCCTGCTGTCCCATTGTCAGTGTCGCCTGTGGGCTTGTGGCGTCCTCCCACCATGTAGCTCCCACATTTGCTCATGTGTCTCTCGATGTCAGAGCTGACCGGTGCCCTCCCTTCCTCCCTGCAGCCTGCAGGCCCACTTGGTCCTCCCTTGAAGTTTCTTGAGCAAGTTTCAATTTTTCACAGCCATCCTACAGCTGAGTCCCATCTTGCTATATTTTTGTAATTTCTTTTGGAATTTATCTTCTTGTGTTTATTATCCACACCTCACGTTGTTAGCTTGTGGATTTCTGAAGCCATAAGGTATATTTATAGGTTATTTTGAAGTTTATTTCATTCCATGAATATTGAATCTATTCTCCTCTGTTTCTTCTTTTGACTGTCTAATTTCAAAATTCTGTCTGGAATTTTTTTTCCTGTCTGTGCTTGGTTTAAAACATTTCTCATAGCTTGGTAGGACTCAGCCCTTGGGGACGTGGTATCTTCTGTTTCTAGCCCAGAATCTTAAGAGCCAAGGACCAGAAGATCAAAACATATGGGGAACCCTTTTCATCCCAGAGCCTTTTCCCTCTCCAAGTCCCAGTTTCCCATCTGCTTACTAACGCTGTCACTAAGCAAGTGTTTGAGCTTGACGTGGGCTGCTGGGATTCCTGATCCCTGCCCTCACACCTGCTTCTCAGTGCTTATGTCCTGTTTGGTGAGTGGACTGGAGTGGGCATGTGGGTGTGCGAGTTATTTCTCCCCCATCCTGAGTCTGCCTGGGCTTCATAACCCACAGACCAGCCTCCCTGGTGAGTCCTAGACATTAGTAGGAGGGCCAGTTGCCTGCCAGCAAGTTCCCTGCTTTCCCTCCTGCGGGCTCAGAAAGATGGGTCGGGCCACCCTTCCCCCACTGCAGGGGTCACAACTGTGGCCGCTGTCATGTTCCTCATGGAAGCTGAGCATTGCTTAGAAATGGAACTCATCATCTTGCTGTGTAGCTTGTTAAAATACCCCATTTCAGACTCCACCCCACACCCGCTGGACCAGAATTTCTGGGCCTGGGACAGAGGCTGATGGTTGTGTTGGGCTGCCGGGGCCGACAAGCAGCAGTGCTCTGTGGGAAGAAACTCAGCCAGTTCTCTGCCCGCGTGTCCCAGCTGCCTGTTCTGCATATTCATTTGACACATGTCCTTCTCAGCTTCTCTGTGCCAGGCACACTGCGCATCCTCCAACTTAGAACACATGACACTGGCTCAGTCCCCCTTTCTTGGGAATCGTCCCTTTCCGTACCTTTGTGTGCCCGGGGTGCCTTGTACACGGGCTGTGTGATGGAATTGTGGGTTGCAGAGGACGCAGGACTGGATCAGAGCCATGGCACTGAACTGGGAGGGACTTCCCAGTTCCAGCAGGGTGCGTGGGCTGGACCAGCGGGGAGGAAATCAGGGCAGTGAGGGCGCAGTCCTGCCGGCCCAGTGGAGGAGGCCGGGCTCAGCAGGTGGTGCTCTGGGGTTGCAGAAAAGAGGCACCCAAGAGAGGTGGAGGAGGCTGTTGTGTCCTGGAGGAGAGGCTAGGTGGGGGCATAGTAGGGGGCATCTCACCCAGGGTTGAGGACGGAGGGACTTTGGGGACGCGGGCGGGCAGGCGCACAGTGGGTGGCTGGGGCTTAAACGCCTTGTTGGGGAAGCAGTGAGAAATGTCAGGCTAGGGCACAGTTGAAAAACAAGTGACAGTTCTAGACAGAAGACTGGGCAGGGCCCCAGTGGAGCCAAGCTGGTCGTGCTTTCTGCATGGAACAGCCTCTGCTGTGTTGACCGTTTGTGTGGTGATAACCCTCATGTGTGCGAGGGTTGTATTGCTTACAACTCGGTTTCCCCGCCTTGTCTACAACTCTGGGTCTCAGTGCCCTTCTTTTGCAGCCAAGGGAACCAGGGCTCAGTGAAGGTTTCCTGTCCCCATGTCCCCCCATTCCCAGCCTGGAGTCATGCTCCTGGTCGGGCGCCGGGCTGAGATACTAGCCTTCTGAAACAGCATCCCCAGTGATGGTGGACAACTCTGGGCGTGCTTGCTCCTTGTCCCCCATTTTCTTCATCTTTACATGTGATCTGTCCGAGCTTCCCAGATGTGGGCCGGAAGGCGTTGGGGCCCCCGCCCACTTCTGTGCCCCGCGGCAGGGAGATGGCCCATAGAGGAGGCGGTGCGTCCTCGGGGTTCTGTGGGTTCACTGAGGTGGGGCCTTGTCCTGGTCGGGGGTATGGGTCGAGGGGACCACCGTGGCTCCGGGCCTCTCAGCCGGGTGGAGGCTGTCTGGCCACGCTCTGGAGTGCTGTTGGTGGAGCTGTCAGCACTCGATTTAATTTGAGGGAGTCAGGAGGGGTCTTGACATGTGGTGCTTTCCCCTATTTGACACCCCTTTATGCTTTGTCAATCAACAGGAGCTTGAAGAAATCCGCAAATGTGGGATGAAAAACTTCCGTAACATCCAGGTTGATGAAGCTAATTTATTGACTTGGCAAGGGCTTATTGTTCCTGTGAGTATTGAACACCTCCACTTCTTACCAGATTGTTCTTTAAGGTGATGTGTGTGCTGCGGGGCTCCTTTGCTCCCAAGGAGGCTCTAAGCATAGGCAGCCAGCCGGTGCGCAGAAGGGCAGGGCCTCAGGTTCCCAAGGAGGCCCCATCTGCACTCTGATCTCATAACCTTCTGGGGGGATCCCAAGCTTTCCAGGTCTGTGGTTATTGGCCCAGAAAGGAGTATGTGTCCAACTCCTGCTCTTCCTGGCGTCTCTCTGCCTGGCCCAGTTTGTCCAGACAGGGCCGCTTTCCCCGACCTCTCCTGGAAGGTGGCGGGCGTTCCCATCTGCATCTTCTCTTTGCTTTCCTGCCTGGTTTTGTATCTCTGTCTCTCACCCTCTGGACACCTGTGTTCCGAGCTTTCCTCCTGGTGCCCTCCAATCTGTGCCTCCCGCCCGTCTCAGATCCCTTTGCCCGGTGGCCCACCTGTTCCCCCCACCCCCGGTATCTTCCTGGGGCTTCTGCCTCCAGTGTCTGCCCTTCACATCCAGTGCCTTGTCTGACGCCTCTCTTCGGCTGGGCCGGCCTCCTCCCACAGCGGCTTTCCCGTGTGGCCTCGCTGCCCTTTTGGTTGGGTGTCTGCTCTGTCTCCAACCTTTCGTCTCCTCACCCCTCAAGAGGCTGGTCCTGCACCGACTCCAGGTACCATTCCAGTTTCTCCCACCCTGCTGAAACCGCTTCCTGGCAAGCACATGGCCCAAGTTCCCACGTTTCTGGCTCAGCAGTCCTTGGGCACAGGGTCCCGCCCTGGTCTAGTCCAGTTGCCAGGATGTCCCCCTTGCTCCTGCCCTGCCGCTTCCTCTGAATCAGACATGGGTCTTGTTCAGCTTCAGCCTCTTGCCTGTCTCTCACTCTGTTTTGTCTCTTGGGGACCCTGCTGCTTCCATGAGGTCACAAGGTCTCTGCTGTATGTGGAGGGGTCAGCTTGGCCTCCCATCCCCAGAGCCCCACCACCTGTCCTGGAAGCCAGGTGCCTTCCAGTCTCCCCGGCTCACGACCAGCACCCCTTCCTCCCTGCTCTTCCCATCCACCACCTCCTCTCCTCCCCTGAGCCTCTGGCAGCCCTGCGCCTGCCCCGCCCCTGCCTGGCCTGAAATCTTCCATGCAGACTGCTCACTTTGCTAACGCTGAGCGTGGAGCTGACTGCAGATGCTTTCTTCTTGACGCTGGTTGTAAGTCATGCCTTTTTTAAAAGTCCCTGGAACTTGAACAGCAAATACTGGATTTGTAGTTTATTTTTATAATCATTGCCATAACTAAGGAAGGGTCTGCTGTATAGTGCTTCAGTACACACTGAAAATTTTACATCTGGGAGCATCCAGGCTGGTTTTGACCAAGCCCTTGCCCACTGTAGGGACCTATTAGGTACTGAGTGGAAGGACTGCCAAGACAATCTGACCATTGGTGCTTTTTCTGGCCCTTTTTAGTTTCCTACTGATAAAATGAGTGAACAGTTAGCTGTGGGTCTTTTGAAAAATGCTAGGAATAAAAGGGACGGTTTTAAGTGGTCAGGCTTGAGCAGTCTAACCCGGGAGCCCAGTGGCCCGAGAGACTGTGGCTGGCTCTGAAGGTGGGTGGCTGTCTGGCAGGCCTCCCCTCTGTGTCGTGCTGGCAGAGCCTGTGGAACAGGCTACTTCTCCTTGAGCCCAGGGTGGAGACTGGCTGGTAGAATCCCAGGGTGCCTGGGCTGAGGCTCTGGAGAGTGTTGAGGCCAAGCCCTGCTTTCCCCTGGGGACACTGTGCCCAGAGAGCAGGCCACAGCCAGGGCTGCTCTCACCCCTGCTAGGCCACCTCTGCCTCTTCCTCTCTCTCTCCCTTCCTCTAGTCACTGCCCAAGGCCCCTGGGTTGGAGTGAGGAGAGTTTCAAGGAAGCAGTTGTCAACCCATCTGTCCAGGGCCTCTGCTAGTACCCCACATCTGGGCCTCAGGTGTTCCCGCACCGCAGGGTCTTGGTCAGCACCGGGGTCTTCTGCCCAGACTCACGTGGGGTCTGTCCTGCTGGATGAAAGTAGGGCCAGACTGATAAAGACCAGGCCCTGCAGAAGTGTGCCTTGACAACAAGGTGCTGAAGGTGCTGGTCCTGGGGGAGCCAGAGCCCACCAGGTGGGGGTCGTGGAGCTGGAGAGGTACTTGTAGAGGCCCTTCATCCTTACCAGGGCAGTTCAGGTGCAGTCCCTGTGAACTCTTGTTTATACATAAAATTTTTTCATTTGAAATTCAGATGTTGTGGGGAGGGTATAGCTCAGTGATAGAGTGCATGCTTAGCATACCTAGGTCTGGGTTCAATCCCAGTACCTCTGTTAAAAAAGAAAAAAGGACAATAACATAATATAAAAAATAAAAGTAAAATTCATCTGTAAAGTCGAAGGAAGAAAAAAACCCCGTAATCCCATTATGAAGAAGTTCAATTCGTAGTTTTTGGCAGCAGCCCCTCAGGAACAGGTGGTGAACATTCTTAGGCTGCTCACCCCGTGAGGGTGTCCCCCTCAACCTGGTGTGCCCCTCCGCCTCTGTGCTTGCCGTCCTTAATGGGATCATTTCATAACTGTCGTACTCTCATCATTATTCAGTCATTGCCTTGAAACTCTGCATGAACATAAGTTTTAATAACTGTATGATATGCTATATAGTATTTATGTGATCATTTTGTTTAATTATTCCTTTCTTGTTAGCTTTATAAATTAAAATAATTTGTGAACATCTTTATGTGTAAAACTTAGTGTGCGTCTTTTTTTTTAATTTTATTTTTAAAAACATTTTAATTTTATTTATTTTTTCGTGTTGAGGGGGATAATTAGATTTATCTATTTGTTTATTTTTCAAGTTGAAGGACTGAGGAGTGAACCCAGGACCTCATGCGTGCTCGGCAGCACTCTGCCCCTTAGCTACACCCTCCCTATTTTTATTTTTGAAGTATAGTTGATGTACAATGTTATATGAGTTATAAGTGTACAATGTCATCATCTTTTTTATTTCAGATTCTGATCTTAAGGGATAGAATTCTGTATTATATATTCCTTTAGGGTCAGCTTTCCAGAAAGGTTGTGCCAACGTACACTCCTCCAGGCACCATCTGCACAAGCGCCCACATGTGTCCTAGGCTGTCGTGGAGGTTGCTGAACATTTTTAACGGAGCACATACTTCAGTGCCCAGGCCGTGGGATCTAACTGCCCAAGGGGAGAACCCCAGCCCTTCCTCGACTGGCATGGTGATACCCAGTATCCTCACCTCTCAGAGGAATGCTTCCCCTCTGGCTGTCTTAAAAGTTCAATAAGTGTGGAGGAGGGGGAGGGAGAGAGAAAGAAAGAGAGGGAGGGAGGGAGGGAATGAAGGGGAGAGAGAGAGAGAGAGAGAGAAATGCTTAGTTTCACTCGGGCTCGCTGGAACACTGTTTGCTAACATGTAACAGAGAGTCTCTGAAACATGTGGGAAAAAATCATTGTTGCCATTTTGATAGGTGCATTAGGTCTCAGTTTGACCTGTGTCTTTGTCCCATTTGGGCTGCAGTATAACAAGGTACTAAATAGGTTAACGTATAAGCAACAGAAACTTACTTCTCACAGTTGTGGCGGCTAGAGATCTGAGATCATGGTGCCAGTCAGGTGAGGGCCCCCTTCTCACGGGTCACAGACCGTTCTCCTGTGTCCACGTGCGGCAGAGGGGGCACTAATCCCTTTCCTGAGGGCTCTGCCCTAATGGTCTGTTCCCCCAAAGGCCCCATCTCCCAATATCATTACCCTGGGGATTAGGAATTTTGTGTGGAACACAAGCATTCAGACCATATCAACTTGCATGTGAAATTTTTTATATTACAGTTGAAGGTTTTTTCACTTATTGCCTGTTTATATCTCTACAGTCTATTATCTGTTAGGGTTCTATTGTGTTTCTTTGTTGAATCGTAGGATTTCTTTGTATTAAATAATCCTTAATGTCTGGGACAAATTTTTTTAGCTTACTGTTTTCTTTTAAATTTTGTTTATTCAAAAATTCCTAAAGTTTCTCCTTTTGAAAATTAAAAAGCTTTTTGCTTCATTAAATTTTTTATTACGGTAAAATATATATTACATAAAACTTGCCATTTTAGTCATTTTTAAACATACAATTCAGTGACATTAATTACATTCAAAATGTTTTGCAGCCATCATCACAATGTATTTCCAAAATTTTTTGTCACTCAAACAGAAACTCCATAGCCATTAAGCACTAGCTCTCCACTCCCCTACACCAGCCCCTGGTGCTCCCTCAGCCCCTCTCTGGGTCAATGAATTTGCTGGCTATAGACACATACATGAGTCATATAAAATGTGTCCTTTTTTATCTGGCTTATTTCACTTAGCATAATGTTTCTGCGGTTCCACTGCATTGTACTATGTATCAGCACGTCGGTTTTATGGGTGAAGAATATCCTGTTACACGTGTGTACCACATGTTATTCCGTCATCTGTTGATGGACGCCAGGGTTGCTTTCCCCCTTTGATTGTTGCGGGACACGCTGCTGTGAGCGTTGGTGTGCAGGAGTCTGACTGAGTCCCTGTTCTCAGTTCCTCTGGGTGCATGTGTAGAAGCGTGTGTGTGTGTGTGTGTTGTACATATGTGCTCCTCAGGGAGCTGCTGCACTGATTCCCCCAGTGGCTGCACCGTCTTGCATCCCCACCGGCACGGTCCCAATTTTTCCACATCCTTACCAACAATTATTTAATTTTTTTTAAGTTATAACCATTCTAGTAGATGTGAACTAATATTGTGGTTTTGATTTTCATTTTCCTCATGATTAAGAATGTTGAGCATCTTTCCACGTGCTTGTTGGCCATTTGCATATCTTTGGAGAAATATCCAAAGTTCTTTTGCCCTTTTTTTAAGACTATTTTTTTTTAAGAACAGTTTTAGGTTTACAGCAAAATTAAGAGGAGGATGCAGATATTTCCCATCTTCCCCCCACCCCCATAGTCTCCTCCA